GCTCGCTGCGGAGGGGTTGGACTAGATGACCTCTAGGGGTCCCTTCCAACCCAAAACTTTCTATGATTCTATGATTCTACAATTTCCAGTGAGTCCCTTCACCCTGGTGTTATGAAGAATGGACAGAATGAGCTCTGTTGCCAGCAGCTGGGACGATCTGCAATTATCCGAACTAATCCTGCTCAGCATATTGAACAACTAGAGATCTGCATGCTTCACTACCTCTAGTATGTAACCAGACACAGACAGGGTGAGTACAGAGCAGCAACCCAAGCATCGGTTGTAAAGAGGATGCAGAAATCAGTAACTCTCTCTCTTGTCCTTCTGGATGTACATGAAAACAGAGACTCCTCCATCAGCAAATAACCACCCCTGGTGAACTCTAGTGCAAGGCAAGAGGTGTACTCCCCTGGGAAACTGTTATTTAAACTAGCACAAAAAAGAGTATTTCTTGATGGCAGTATGTGTAGCTATTTCAAAACTGCCTTGGTTTCGTTTCTGTCAGATAACACACAGACAAGGTTAATTTTATTGAAAAATTTAATTGATATGCCAAGATATCATAATGGTAGTCATTAACTTGGACCCTCTTCATTACTGGCAGCTGAAATGAGGTGTGTGATCAGTATTACATGACAGACAATAGACAGCTTCATCATCTCCTATGCATTCTTCAGGTTACAATGGAAGCTTCTTCAGCACAACAGTTTGGTCAACAAGAAGGAAATGCCCGCTCCTTCCTAAAGAGGGCATGGAAACCATCCTCACAAACAGCATTTCCTCCCAATTTGATTTGAGTATCTGCATTCAATTACACTCCCAATCTTTCAAATATCCTCTGGAGTAGTTTGTTTCACCTCCAGCTTGCAGGGTTGTTCCCAGAGTGCTTGCTGCGACAACACTGAAACTGTGCCCTCTGCACAACAGAAAGTCTTCAGGATTCTTCCCATCCACAAGAATCAATCCTGGAAATAGTCCCTTCCAGTCTCAGAATCCCTCCCACATCCCCATGAAACAAACACACCAGCTGCAGAAAATCTCCAGGAGTATCACAAAATCGTCTATATCAGCCCCAATACATAACAGCACATACAATGGATCATATATTGAGTACACCCAGTGATGTTCTTACTGACTTTTTTATGTTGAGGAATTCTCCAGCTGAGCTAGACAACAATAAGCAAAAGCAAGAGGACATCCTTGCTGTAGTCATAAGTTTACAGTCTCATTTTCAATGAGGCACAGCAAGTGAGTGAGTGAGAAAGTAATGAGGAAGGACAAGGATAATGACAATAGATCATAGTGGCATTGATTCGCTACACAGGAAACTGATGACTCAGAAAGGTTCCTCTTTAATTTCTATATAGCAGCCACCCCAAAATCATTGCTCATACTGGCCATCATTAATTTGTTGATTTCTTGAAGGCATTCTGATAGGAGCAGTAGATCTTAAAAAGTGGGTAGTGGTTTTACAGACTTGTTCCTCCACAGCACTCTGCAAGTAAAAGGCAATGAGGAAGCAACTGTGCAGATAATAGTGATATACTGAACGTTCAAGGCAGGAGTGAAGGGAAGGAGGCATGCATGTACAACCTAATGAGATGAGATGATCAGCTCTCTAAAGTCAGTGGGAATCTTTCTATTAACTTCAATGAGAGTTCAATCAAGCCCTAAAGGACAAAAGCAGAGCAGGTCATTAAGGCAGACTGTGAAAGTGCAAACAGGTTTTGAAGTATTCCAGAGGTGTTAACATTAAAGAGTATGGCCAGTGTGACACATTTCTGCAAAGTGAGGCAGCATCTGTATGCTCTGACTAGAGTATATTTCCCAGATCATTATATCACGGCAGAAATGTAAAACACGTCACATTCTGATAGGCTGCAAACGATCAAGGCAAAGAAACACATACCTCATACCACTAAAAAGTTGAGATACTCAGGTTTCCACTGATCGTGTACCATTCATTTCTAGTCCTGCTGGCTGATAAGCTCTATGTGACTATTATCTTTCAGTGACTTATAAAAGAGAAAAAAAGGAAAAAAAACAAAGGCTCACACAGGTTTGACTCCTTCCTCTCTTCAGTTAAATTTTTCTCAGAGGGAATTCTCTATACCCTTCTAATTCTACAGGAAGGGGTCAGTGCTCCCTCTACAGCCTGTGTGTCGAGGGGATGCACAGATGCTTCTTTTGCCTTCCATATAATCATTCTACACAAGTTTCCACATTTCTTCCCTCTCTCTCTTCAAGTCCAAAACTGTCAGCTGATGTAGCATGAACTGCTAAGGAAACAGAGAAATATGGCACAAAATTTCTACGGCAGGATTTCTTTTTTTAAGTGATAAAAAACCACTGGTATCTAGCCCTAGTTGACCTCATGACAATAACTATCAAGATCATGTAGGAACTGAGAGGAAGGAGAAAATAAGTAGTAAGCAGAATAATGCACTTTAGAGGTCCAGCATCTGGTTATCTAATAGAGAGAAGAAATACTTTAATAGATCAATAAGGAAACTTTTTAATGACAGTAAACATTTCTTAGCCCTGGTTCAGACTATGGATTGGAATTAAAAATGCCAGAATTCTAAATACTTTGCATTTACTAAGTCATACTCATCAGATGCTTTGCTATAAAAATATTACATTTAACTTTCACCAATCAATAAAGTGAACTGCATTCATCAATGATTTGATATGTGATGCTAAATATAAAATACTTAGCTCTTAGGTACACATTTTTAGGTAAAAGCTTTTCATTATACTGTCTGACTTCCACGATAATTATAAATCTTGCTTGTTGCTCATCCTTCATTCCTCCTCCCTCCCTTCCCAACTCTCCTTTTTTTGTAATTCATTTCAAGTAGCTAAAACTGGGTGCAGAGCAACTAAACAATTATCTAGGATCAATTCTAAAGAAACAGTTGAGGAAAACACAAGTATGCTTTATGAGATTCCACTGGGAGGAAAGTTTATTTTTACCTGATTTGTTAGACACCCATATAATTGCCTCTGATGAGATGTGGCTCGTATTTCCTACCGCAATTGTTAATGGAATCTGCCACAAGTAGCTGCAAGACAAAGGAGGGGGAATCTAAGAACAAAAATACTGAACTGATTCTTCTCACAGCAATCAGGGATCATGTCAAAGAAATCAAAACACAATTTCAGTAGCAGTGTAAAAATGTGGATTCTAACAAGTTACTTTGATTTTGAAATGCATTTGCTATTAGCAATAAAACAATGAAAAAGTCATTCATCTTAAAAAAAAAACTGAATTATATTTTACATTTTTCACACACTATCATCATATAAGGACTTTTTTTGTAAGGCTTTCCTAATTTAACAAAATGATTCACAGAAGAGGAAATAATGATTTCCCATGGAAGGAAGAACACTTTTTTACATTCACTTAGAAAAAGAGAACCTCCAGGTAAAACACGCTTTGATTTATAGGGACTCCAAAGTTTAATAATAACGTACCCTTCTAGCAACTTCTTAAAAAGCTATGATGGGCTTTCACAGCTGCTGTTTAATAAAAACAAAATGAATGGGATGAGCCTCCACTGCTTTGCACCATTTATTATCACTGACGTATATGCAAACTGGACAAAACACGCTACACGTGGATTTGGAGATATGCCGATGTAATCAGACCCCAACTTCCTTATAGGGTATCACAAACTGTTTCTCATTTGGAATAAATGCTATAATTTACCTAAGACTTTTATATAACATCTTTATCTCAACAAACAGAAATTGACTGTACGATGAAGTCAATCTTTTGGGAGAGAGATGGAAAAGATGAATTCCTGTGAATCTTTATCTCACCTCTATTCCTGAACTCTCCAAAATATCATTTCATCAGCCAGCGAGAGAATGGGCATTGCCTCACAGGTCTGCCATGTCATTTTGTACACCAGTCCAAGGTGGCACCTTCGCCTAGGGAATATGTGTCCTTTTAAGCAAAGCAGCATGGCAAGAGAATGGCCCCAACTCAGACATCATCGTATGCTATACTTAGATGCCGAGTAAGTATATCATTTTAGATCAATTTAATTAAAACGGTGCAAGGATGAGCGTGGGCAAGTTCTTCATGCCCACATCAGTTTCTCTCCTGCCTGTCCATAGCATTGCAAAACTAGCTTATGGTACAAAAAAAATTATGTTTGCTCCTTTCTGCTTACCCAGAAGTCTGCTCCACTGAACTGCGAACACCACCAAAATGTGCCTGGGAACACACCTGCCATTCAGCCCTGGAAACCATGGGGATCATGCACCATGCGCAACTGAATTTCCTCGTGCTGGTTCAGTGAGAAATGTTAGACCACTGCAGCAATTTCTGTTCCCTGCTTCTCTCAGATTTCATCAACAAGACAAGGATTATTTGATTCTATTATTTCAAAGACCAGGTCCAGCAAACACTTCCAGACATGAGCATCTCTGCACACTTGACGTAAAGGTGCTGAAAGCAGCCCCACTGCTCTCAGTTTGGCTGCCAGGGCTTGAGTCGATGTGATGTCCATCTACTTGCCAGAAGATGTGGCATTCAGTCTCAACCCGCTGCTGGGGGAGGGAGAGACCCCTGCTCTGCCAGCCTTGCTGCCATGCTTGGCTCCCCACCCCTTTGCCAAGAGTCCCCCGCACTCATGGGGATCTGCAGCGCTCACAACAGAACTGCATGTGCCGGGAAACACTTGTCCGCACAGCAGTGATTCAGCAGAGAGGGGGAGATACTTGGAAATCTGTATGGCTGAAAGAGCTATGAGTGACAGCAGAAAGAAAACACGGCATTTATTGCCATATGGGAGAAGAAAAAAGGTCCCATGTGATTTTGGGTTATCTGAATATTGGTATCATGACACACTGGAAAAATTATTAGATCTGCTCATGCACTGAAGACACGGTCCACATGAGTACATGCTCTGGCAGACACTTTTTGGATAATTAAGCTGTGGCCTTTGAAATAACAGAATCAAATGATCCACTACTCTCTTAAATACCTTATACCTTACTAGACGCCCACCAGTGTTTTAGAGTCTGTCCAAAAAAACCTTCTAGGAAATATATCATCTTTAAAAACACACACAGCTCTAAATATTCGGCTCTCCAGAATGAAAAAGGTGCTGGCAAACAGTGATCAAGAAAAATGAGGCAAAATTAAGCATAAAGCTTGTACGTTATTTGAAAGAATGAGAACTCTGGTATATGAAAAAAATGAAATAACTACATTTGCATGGTATTTTTATGATTCTTGAGATCAACTCCTACTGAAAAAGTTAAACTGCAAAATGAAAGATACTGAGAGCTGCCTATGTAGTTGATTTAAACAAGGAACTTCGTAGAAAGATATTCTTTACATTGCAGTATCTATACGGAGAAGAATTTTGTATTACCTTATACTATTATTTATTGTTTTATTCAATTAATGTAAATCCTACTGAAGTAAGAACAGATCCTTACTAGAAAGGTGATCTAGCTGTGGATCAAGAGTCACGCAAGCCACCCATCCTCAGAAAACACATGTGGATTTAATTGAGAAGATTAGTACTGGTAGATTTATCTCTCCAAGATGAGAGACCTCCTGAAGTTCTCAGCTCCCTTTAGAACCTCCAAATCTCATCCTCCTGGTTATTGGTTTACCAGGTGAACCACAGATTTCCTTTTAATAGAAGTCTCCAGAAACCAATTTTTCCTACTTTACTGCTACTGTTCTCTGTATGTTTACCTGCTTTCTCCTTCCAGTCCTCTTCATTCCCAGTGAAACCTCTGCCGTGTTGCAGAAAAAGCCATGGCTAACTTTTTTATATGTATGTGAGGGAGATGTATTTGGCTCACCTTTCAAGAATTTTCATTAGGGTGACTTCTCCTACACCCTATCTCAGAGTGATCTGTATGGACTGTGTTCTCCAGGTGTGACAAGAAAGAAGCAAACTCTTTTTGCACATTTCTATCACAATCTTCCACTTTACAGAGAAAAGATGAAAAAAGGGGCCCACTCGTCTGTTTTCCTCCTGCTTTGCCTGGGGGTAGTGCAGATCTTCTATTATTTATTCTTTATATGTTGGGAGCACCACCAGTGTGCTCTCTGTATGTACTTGACCAGGGGAAAAGGCATCCTGCTCCACCTGGCCATGTGCTGTTTGCGGTGACAAACCAGTTCAAGTGACAATAAGAATCTAGTGTTGAGGGGCCAGTGACTAGGGCACCAGGACTTCAAACAACCCTTTTGGTCCTCCTACCCTCAAGAACACGTCTGCAGGAATCAGATGCCTGTTCAGGTAGTACACTCAGCCCCTGGGTGAAACGGACATAATGAACTGCGGGTCCAACCTGCCTGAGATGCTGCTAAGCTTCAGAGGGATCCACACATTTTGTCCCTCTTGATACAAACCTGATCACCTTAACAGGGAGCTAAAGGCAGACCACTTAACTGTGGGGAAACTAAGGGCTATTTCACGAATTTAAGAAACCAACTCCGAGGATGAGGAGGAGAGACATCTAAAATTGGAACAGACATGGTAAATATGAACTGTGCCGAACACAACATTGTTCAGTCATAGATGTCTTAAAGAGATGGAGGAAAGCGGGATCTTGTTAAAAGGTAGTATAAATAAGCCTTTTACTGTTGATTTACAAGTGAGAAACTGTTCGTGTGAAATAGTTAAGTTTAGGTTGACAGGATAACATTCACAATTAAAGGGAAAGCATTGGTGCTTTTTTTTTTTTATGGTAGCACCACATCAATACATAATACTGAAGTGATTTAGGATCTCCATTCAGCTTAGAGAGTATTCACGGACTTGTTTGATAAAGTAATACAATCGTGCATCTGCCAAGGTACATGTAATACTAGAAGCTAGCTAATTACGCTCTGCTTGGATTACACAGATATTTTTTTGTCTTGAGCATTACATTATGACTACACAGCTAGTTTCAGTGTACTTTATCTCACTCAGAAAACAATCATATTTGTGATGAGTACTTGCTTATGCCTTGAATTCCAACAAATAAGAACTGAGATTCTTTCATGGGCAAATTCTGAGACCATAGAGTTTTAAGAAAACATGATGCCTCACACTTCTGCCTCTGATGAACAGTAATGTTGTAGTAACATTGGATTTTCAGTGGAACAACCAGTTAGCATATTTGTAAAGAGCTATGCAAAGCCAAAAAGGGCAGTAGAGTATTTCCTCTGCTGACAAAACAAAGACTTCAGGTCATTAATATAGAAAAAGGTAAAGTTCCTGGAGTTTCGGTTTTTGCACTCCAGCTACTTTTTCACATTAATGAACATTTTTGCTGAGATGCAAATCCGTACACTTTCAAGATTCATCCTCTCAGTAACCATAACGTGTCAAGCTTCCACCCACTGCCAGTAGTGGATACCATGTTCTTCCAGTGACATTTCTCCTTTCTCTTCTGGATTCAAAGCTAAACAAAGAAGTTCAACTATTCCTAGTCATTACTCAAAAAACAATGAAGATATCTGTTCAATATTCAGAAGCTTATTATCCTTGGCTGCATTATAAAGAGTATACAAGTAATGTGATTGCTTCACGTAAAGTGACAGAACATCTGTACCCAAAATACCACAGTAGGACTTAACTAACCTGCCTTTTGAGTTGGAGAGGATATGAACAGTCACTTCCCTCTCTATATCCTTCTGCTTTTACAGACCTCTGGGTTAAAGACTCATAAGCTTTCCTGCTGTTCTTTACACAGAAACTATAATTAACACTTCTTACTTGTCCACCTCTGTATTTTCTCTATCCATTATACTCTTTTCCATCTTAGAAAGCCAGACCCGCCCTTTGTGTTTTCAAGGCAGGTCTACCATGGATTAAGAGTGGCATAATTCTTTTTCCTTCTACACTTTTTAATACATTTTATATGCTCCTTTCCTGCTAATCCCTACTGTTCTATTTACTTGCTTGACTGTGTCTGCACCCTGAGCTGATGTTTACAGAAAATTATCCACCACAACTCCAAGATCTCTTTCCTGAGAGAGAATAGTTTCTTCAGAATCCCCCACTGAGCATTTAAGTTAGGACTGTCTTTCCCACATCTA